CAACAAAAAAAAAAAAAAAAAAAAAAAAAAAAAAATTAAGTAAACGTGTACATCAATGGGTATTAATGACAAAATAAATTATTTGGTAAATAATATAATAAAATGTAAATAAAAAGGTCAGGCAAAAATAAAATTTAGTTGGGTACCATACGGGACGGCAGCGTCTGAATAAAATCAAAAACGGCTGCCAAATTTTCAAAAAATTAGCTGAGCAACCTCGAAGGGTAAATTTAATCTTATCAAGTTTACTAAAATGTAAAGCATCTTTAATCCAAAATTCAAATGATGGAGGTAGAGCTGATTTCCAGCACAGCAAAATTCTACGCCTCGCCAACAGAGTGAGGAATGAGACCAAATCAGCCTCGAGTCTTGACACAGAAACCCTCTCAGAAAGTACACCAAACAGTGCAGTTAGTGGGTCAGGCTGGATGGACATGTGTACTGCTTCAGACAAAGCTGCAAAAATATTTGTCCAATACTGCTTTAATGATGGGCATGACCAAAGCATATGAATCAATGAGGCAGGTGTCTGATGACAGCGGTCGCATTCCGGACTAATGTTTGAGTATATTTTAGAGAGCCTGGCCTTAGTCCAGTGAGTGCGATGCAGGATCTTACACTGGATTAGTCCATGTCTGGCACACAGTGACGAACCATGTACCCGATAAAGAATTTTATCCCACAGGTCATCTGGAAGCAAAAAACCCAGGTCCTCTTCCCATGCCGCTTTGATTGAAAGGATTGGGGATTCACGAAAACAGCACAGCCTCTCATACAAACATGATACAATGCCCTTTTTCGGTGAAGGGGGTAACAGAAGATTATCCAACTCATTAGCAAGAGGCTTAGATGGAAAAAAAGAAGTTTTTTTCTTAACATAACTTCGGACCTGTAGGTAACGAAAAAAGTGGCTCTTTGGGAGGTCAAACTTAATAGAAAGCTGGTCAAAAGAAACGAATGTACCCTGGTCATAGAGGTCACTAAAGCTTTTGATACCATGAGAGAACCAAACAGAGAACGCACTATCAATCATAGCGGGCCGAAATAAAGGGTTCTTAAAGATAGGAGATTGTAAAGAAAAAGAGTTTAATTTAAAATAACGGCGAAGCTGGAACCAGATTTTCAAAGTCTCTCTCACCATTTTATTGTTTGGAATTTCAGCACCAGATAGCAGTTTGGGAGCATAAACTAAAGCAGACAAAGACGATTGTATACAGGAGGAGGCTTCCAATTTCAACCAAGCCGGGGCACTATCCAAATCCTTTGCCTTTAACCAGTAAATAAGAATTCTAATATTGGATGCCCAATAATAAAACATAAAGTCCGGCAGTGCCATTCCACCCACACCTTTTGGTCTCCTCAGATATGACTTACGAATTCTAGAGGGTTTATGACCCCAAATAAATCCAGTAATAATTTGGTCCAATTTACTGAAAAAAGAAACCGGGATAAAAACAGGGATACACTGAAAGAAAAAAGAAAATTTGGGAAGCACGTTCATTTAATCGTATTAATTCTCCCAGCAACGGATAAATGAAGCAAAGACCATCTATCCAGGTCCTGTTTGACCTTGTCCACCAATGGTTCAAAGTTAAATTTAAAAAGTTCGCAGAATCTACTCTTGACCTTAACCCCTAAGTATGTAAAACCATCAAGGGCAACCCTGAAGGGGAGAGAAACAAGAGAATATTTTCGAGCCGCCAAATTTATTGGAAAAATTTCACTTTTACCAAGGTTTAGCTTATAGCCAGATATGCGGCTAAAATGATCAAGAGTTGAAAGTACAATAGGAACTGAAGTGGCTGGTTTAGAAATATAAAGAAGCAAGTCGTCGGCATATAAGGAAAGCCGCTGTTCAATGCCTGATCTTATAACCCCACTTAGATATATATTGGATCTAAGGGAGATGGCCAATGGCTCTATAGCAATTGCAAAAAGTAATGGGGACATGGGGCATCCCTGTCTAGTGCCTCTGAAAAGAGGGAAGTACTTAGAGTAAATGAAATTTGTTTTAAAGAAGCAAGAGGAGAAGTGTACAAGAGCTTTATCCATGAAACAAAATTATTACCAAATCCAAATCGTTGAAGTACATAAAAAGGTAACCCCATTCCACTCTATCAAATGCCTTCTCCGCATCCAGACTAATCACAAATTCAGCTTCACTAGAATCTGTGGGGTTTATAGAGCACATTGAATAACCGTCTAACATTGGAGAAGGCATATCTCCCCTTAATAAATCCAGTCTGGTCAGAATTGATCAAAAGTGGCAAAACAGTTTCTAAACGGAGTGCTAATAATTTGGCAAGAATTTTATAGTCTACATTTAAAAGAGAAATTGGACGATAGGAGCCACAAGACAAAGGATCTTTATCCTTCTTCAGGATCAAAGAAATAGAGGCCTGTAACAAGGATGCTGGGAGAGTTTCAGATTCAAATGAATGTCTAAACATATTCAGCAGGAGGGGAACCAATTTGAGACTGAACTTTTTATAAAATTCGACAGGAAATCCATCCTGTCCTGGGCATTTTGAACTCTGCATATTATTAAGAGCACGTACAACTTCTTCTGCAGCTAAGGGCTCTTCCAGTTGAAGACTATAAGTTCGGTCTAGTACAGGAAAAACAAGGTTGTCACAGAAAGAGTCCAAAGATAAAATATCAAATGGACATTCAGACACGTATAATGAAGAATAGAATTCATGGAACTGATTATTAATTATTTGTGGATCCGAAGAAATGCCCGTGTGAGTCCGGATCTGTGGGATAAGATGTGCTGCTGCCGCGTTACGAAGTTGGAGAAAGAAGTTTACTGGCTTGTCTCCATATTCATATTGGGCATGCTGTGACTTCAAAAGCATCTCCTCCACCTGCACTGATGCTACTCGGTCAAACTCTGCCTGTAAAGACAACCTGACATTATATGCCTCGGGTGAGGGGGAAGATGCATATAGTTCATCCAACTGCAAAATTCGAGTCGTAAGTTCTAACAATTTTGCCTTTCTCTGTTTAGTTTCGAAACTAGTATAGGATATATCTGTCCTCGTATAAAAGCCTTAAAAGTGTCCCACAAGAGAGAGGGTGATATACCTGGAGTATCATTTGTGGCAATAAATAAATCTATTTTTGAAGTAATAAAGGCTACAAACTTATCGTCAGACAAGAGACGTATGTTCAAACGCCAAGGAACGACAGAGGGAGAGCCTCCTCCCATCATCAGGTCCAGTGTCACAGGAGCATGATCTGAAATCACAATAGCATTGTGAGAGCAGGATCGAATATGGGGTATTAATCGGCTGTCTAAAAGAATATAATCAATACGAGTATATGTATGGTGCACTGGGGAGAAGAATGTATATTCTTTACGAGTAGGATTGAGAAAACGCCAGGCATCAATGACTGAAAATTCTTTAAGAAAATTATTAATAACTTTGGACGAATGCGATTGTCTGTTAACTTTAGTTGATGACCGATCCAAAGGACCCAACCAGCAATTCAAATCGCCAGCTAAGATAAGAAAATGTGAAGATAAATCTGGGATTTTAGTAAAAAAGGAACTAAAAAAATTATGATCATCCCAATTAGGTGCGTACACATTAGCCAGAACTAGTTTTGTATTAAAAATGCTCCCACAGACAATAATGTATCTACCATTAGGATCATAATAATATTAGAAGACACAAATGGTACTAATTTGTGAATTAAAATAGCAACACCTCGGGATTTACCTTGAAAAGTTGAATGATACATTTGGCCAATCCAGCCCTTCCGAAGTCTAATATGATCTGAGATTTTCAAATGGGTTTCTTGTAAAAACACAATATGAGCCCCCAGATGCTGTAAATGATGGAGGACTTTACTTCTTTTAATGGGTTGGTTTAAACCCTTGCAATTCCAGCTACAAAACTTGAAAACCTGACCCTTTATTACATTATCACTTAGATTGTAACATCCATCAATCTGTGTAAGAAAAAAACCCATTGCGAACACTTAAAAACCAAATAAATGTGAAAAACAAAAAAACAGAACAAAAACGTTAACACTTACCCCTGATTGCTGAAGCATCTTCCCGAACAAGATGCGCGCATATCCCCCTTTTCTAACTACTAGGTACCTCTTCCCAAGCATCCGCTAACCCAGTAGAACTCAAGCTCCCACCAATGCAAAGCAGGAACTAATTAAGTGTATAGATAGATATGCATTTGCACACCCATATACACACCCAAATGTAAATAAATAAACAAACAAACAAAAAAAACAACAACAACAAAAAACAAAAAAAAAACAAAAGGAATTATATAACAAAATCTGGTACTAGAAGCACACCCTACATATTGTAACATCATAAAAAACTTTCAATTAGGTTACCCTTTCACGAATCTAAATCAAAAATTCTAAACATAATGAACATCAGCCTCAAAACAAATCAAAGATATTAGTCGAGAGGGGCTCCACCTCCCAGTGTCTTAATAAAGTCTGTAGCAGCTTCGGGGTCGGAAAACCTGCGCACACCTCCATCTGGCAGTGTGATTCTTAACTCAGCAGGATAGAACAAGCCAAACTTAATGCCAGGACACAAATGTAAGAGACGCTTGGCATTCCCAAATTGTGAGCGTTTTTGGCCACTGACGACGTAAAGTCTGGAAAGATAAAAATTTTCCTGCCTTGATACAGAAGAGGTGCAGCAGCTCCTGCTCGGCGCAGAATCAACTCTTTCACATGAAAGTAGTGCACTCTGATGATAACTGGTCGAGGTGGGGCTCCTTCTTTAGGTTTTTCCCTGCTAGATCTGTGAGCCCGGTCCAGAAGCGGTACATCCTCCAATCCCAGAAGATCACGCAGAAGCTGTGAGATAAATTCTCTAGAACTAGGCAGTTCCAGTCCTTCAGCCAGCCCAATGAGACGAATATTATTACGTCTTGACCTTCCCTCCAGATCTTCACATTTTGCCTGTAGATGTTTAACTTCCTCTGCTAAGGCAGATACAGAGGTCTGCAGGGCGGTCAAATCGTCACTGCAAGTGGTGGCAGAGATCTCGAGCTCTTTGATGGTGGCTCCTTGAGTTTCAACAGGGTCTGGATGGAGTTTATATTAGCTTTGAGCTCAGCCTTCACGGACGCAACTTCCGACCTCAGTGTGAGAGTTAGAGCGTCCATCCTCGAGTCAAGAGTATCACAGATATCTTGTTTCAGACCTTGCAGCGCTTTGGTGAATGTTGCCTCACTGAGCGGTGTATCTGATCCACTCTCGCTGCTCCCCAGCGGCATCCCCTCCATCCGGGGCTCACCCGAACCAGAATTCGTTTCAGCGGCAATGCGTCTTTGACGGGATCCCTTAGTCTCCCTCTTGTCCATTTTACAGGAATCTGTGTGCTTTAAGACATAAAATGATCCCAAACAGCACCGAAGAAAGTTGACGTAAACGTTGACGTCACAGTTCGGCGACACGAGCGAGTGCAACCAATAGTTAGCTTTAGCTCAAAAGGATCATCCAAGGATAGGAACCACTCTTTAATGTTCACCCGTGCTCGCTGTGATATCAGTCCTAGTGCCACAATAGCATCAGTCCAAAAGCCACCGTTCAGGGTGCAAGGGATCCACCCAAAAGCGACAGCCGGTCAGTTTTCGGCCCAGGTCGGTGCTAGTGTCGCTAGTGCACGCTGGCTAGGTTCGGGTTAACGACCGCAGCTTAAAAGAAAAAGCGACTTAGCAACCAACAAAGGTGCCAAATGAACCAAAAAGTAGAAGCGCACCATTATACACATATAAGAGGCTGATTTATAAATAAGGGTGTGCTTTCAAATAAATGTCTTGTCCCTGCTTTTGCGGAGCCTCGACCAGCACGTCCTTACTCCATGGTCAATATAAATTTAAGTCTGTGGGTCATTTAGTTCTGGTTCTGAATCGTTCATCAGAGACGCTGCAGAAATGGGAATATTGATCACAATATCAGCATCTTTAATCTGGTCTAGTTAAAGCACTGCAACACCTGGACTCTGTAAACCTGGACTGGATCATCATCAACTAATAGCAGAAGATTTAAAACTAATGTGGGATTTATGGATCTTCAATAAAGGGACATTTCATGTTGACCTTTGACCTGCTTGACCTGAGGGGGATTTCTACACACTGGGGTCCGAATGCTGTCCTGTTCTGACCTCAGATCAGCAGGTCCAACTCAGTTACACAGAGAAACTAAATTAAACTCTGGATCCAGGAACAAACTCAGAAATATTGATTAGATCAGAAGTAATGAACTTTGATTTATGATCAATTATATAGAATTATTCACAGAAATATCAATAATTATATCATTAAAATACCTCAATGTCTCCAGTCTGCAGCCTTCAGTCTGTAGAAAACCACAGAGATCCTTCAGTCCAGAATCTCCCAGGTTGGTCCAGCTCAGGTTCAGTTCTGTCAGACGGGTCGGGTTGGACTTCAGAGCTGAGAACAGAGACGTCCAGCTGGTCTCTGATAAATTGCAGCTCAACCTGAATAAAAAATAAAAGATGTGAACCAACAGGATGCAGTTAAAACTGAAATATGAACAAATAAATAATAAAAATGTATAAATTAATTTCTCTGAATGTAAAAGAAACATGATGAACTGATTCTAACATCTGATCCAGTCAAACTGGTTTAAAGAGTCCAAACCAGCAGAACCAGAACATTTGATCAACAAAGAAACTCAAAGTTTGTCTCAAAGTTTCTGAGGATCTTAAACTCAGTGGATGTTTTTCTCTCCATGTTTCCTTCCAGGCTCTGGATTCTCCGACTGCTCTGTCCATCATTGATCTGCTGATATTTTATGGCTCCAGTTTTTCTTCATTAATCTATTAATGATGTTTTCTTGCTGCTTGTATTTGAACTGCAGCTCATTGCTCAGTATGACAGATGGAAACGGTTGATTTCAATCCTTTATCATATCATCACATTCTGAAAGTTGATCATTTTGTGCTGATTCAGTTTCTAAACCATCAACTACAAAATATGATCCTTTTCTCAGTGATGTCATTGTGGGTCATTTGGTTCTGGTTCTGAATCGTTCATCAGAGACGCTGCAGAAATGGGAATATTGATCACGATATCAGCATCTTTAATCTGGTCTAGTTAAAGCACTGCAACACCTGAACTCTGTAAACCTGGACTGGATCATCATCAACTAATAGCAGAAGATTTAAAGCTAATGTGGGATTTATGGATCTTCAATAAAGGAACATTCATGTTGACCTTTGACCTGCTTGACCTGAGGGGGATTTCTACACACTGGGTCCGAATGCTGTCCTGTTGTGACCTCAGATCAGCAGGTCCAACTCAGTTACACAGAGAAACTAAATTAAACTCTGGATCCAGTAACAAACTCAGAAAATATTGATTAGATCAGAAGAAATGAACTTTGATTTATGATCAATTATATAGAATTATTCACAGAATATCAATAATTATATCATTAAAATACTTCAATCTCTCCAGTCTGCAGCCTTCAGTCTGTAGAAAACCACAGAGATCCTTCAGTCCAGAATCTTCCAGGTTGGTTCCGTTCAGGTCCAGTTCTGTCAGACGGGTCGGGTTGGACTTCAGAGCTGAGAACAGAGACGTCCAGCTGGTCTCTGATAAACTGCAGTGATTCAATCTGAATAAAGAATAAAAGATGTGAACCAACAGGATGCAGTTAAAACTGAAATATGAACAAAAATAATAAAAATGTATAATTAATTTCCCTGAATGTAAAAGAAACATGATGAACTGATTCTAACATCTGATCCAGTCAAACTGGTTTAAAGAGTCCAAACCAGAACCAGAACATTTGATCAACAAAGAAACTCAAAGTTTGTCTCAAAGTTTCTGAGGATCTTAAACTCAGTGGATGTTTTTCTCTCCATGTTTCCTTCCAGGCTCTGGATTCTCCGACTGCTCTGTCCATCATTGATCTGCTGATATTTTATGGCTCCAGTTTTTCTTCATTAATCTATTAATGATGTTTTTTTGCTGCTTGTATTTGAACTGCAGCTCATTGCTCAGTATGACAGATGGAAACGGGTTGATTTCAATCCTTTATCATATCATATCATCACATTCTGAAAGTTGATCATTTTGTGCTGATTCAGTTCTGAACCATCAACTACAAAATATTGATCCTTTTCTCTGTGAGGTCATTGTGGGTCATTTAGTTCTGGTTCTGAATCGTTCATCAGAGACGCTGCAGAAATGAGAATATTGATCAGGATATCAGCATCTTTAATCTGGTCTAGTTAAAGCACTGCAACACCTGGACTCTGTAAACCTGGACTGGATCATCATCAACTAATAGCAGAAGATTTAAAACTAATGTGGGATTTATGGATCTTCAATAAAGGGACATTTCATGGTGACCTTTGACCTGCTTGACCTGAGGGGGATTTCTACACACTGGGGTCCGAATGCTGTCCTGTTCTGACCTCAGATCAGCAGGTCCAACTCAGTTACACAGAGAAACTAAATTAAACTCTGGATCCAGGAACAAACTCAGAAAATATTGATTAGATCAGAAGAAATGAACTTTGATTGATGATCAATTATATAGAATTATTCACAGAAATATCAATAATTATATCATTAAAATACCTCAATGTCTCCAGTCTGCAGCCTTCAGTCTGTAGAAAACCACAGAGATCCTTCAGTCCAGAATCTTCCAGGTTGTTGTAGCTCAGGTCCAGTTTTGTCAGATGGGTCGGGTTGGACTCAGAGCTGAGAACAGAGACGTCAAGCTGGTCTCTGATAAACTGCAGAAAATCAATCTGAATAAAGAATAAAAGATGTGAACCAACAGGATGCAGTTAAAACTGAAATATGAACAAATAAATAATAAAAATGTATAAATTAATTTCCCTGAATGTAAAAGAAACATGATGAACTGATTCTAACATCTGATCCAGTCAAACTGGTTTAAAGAGTCCAAACCAGCAGAACCAGAACATTTGATCAACAAAGAAACTCAAAGTTTTCTATCAGTCTGGATGAGTTGAGCTATTTCTGCTGGTTCCTGATCATCAGACCCGACTTGGTAACTGGATCAGAACCAGTCAGGTTCTTCATTAATGGCCTTTGGGTTCCTATTAAAGCTGCTGAAAGCCAATGGAGGCCATTATTTCCTCAGGAGACGGTTCCTCTCTGACCCGGCCCAACAGAACCACAGCCTCAGGACAAAGCTGAGGAACCTGCTGCTGCTGCAAACCTCACTTTCATTCATTGCATCTAGATTTGCTTTTCTACAATCAGTGGTTTCTTAGACGTTCATTAATGAGGATTTGAACTCGTCAGTGTTTGTGGCTCTGGAGGATCAACATTTCATTCTGATGTAAAGAATCAGAAATAAAAGCATCTGAATCTTTACCAAACTGAAACATCTCCATCATTCATTCACAGCATTTCAATTATTTTACTCATTTTGTTTATCAAAAACATTTTAAAGAGAAAACTGAAAAACAAAGTTCAATAATCTCAAAGTCTGAAATAAGAAAATAATTAATAATGTCAAAAGTTGTAGAGATTTTATTCTGATGATTAAACAAGTTGTTTTAAAATAATATATATCAGAATAAAATTATTATTATTATTGAATAAATAGAGAAAACAAACCTCAGAATCTTCACTTTACTGACTGAATTCTCCAGGATCTCAACCAGATGCTTCATATCAGATTCTCCACCTTCATATATGTTGATCTGATTTATTTCCAGTTCAGTCAGATCTGGGTTGGACTTCAGAGCCGAGGCCAAAACTTCACATTCATCCTTTTGGATCAAACAGTCACCAAGTCTGTGATTAGAGAAGAAATAAATTCAGTTCTAATGAAATCAATCTGGATCATAAACAGACTAAAATATGATAACAGTGATGTCATCATCTGATCAATATCTGATCTTCAATCTACTGATTTGACCCCACAGAGAATCTGTGCAGTTCCTGGTTAGAGTCCAGGTTCTGGTTCTGGTTCTGGTTCTGGTTCTTGTTCTGGTTCTGGTCCAGGTTCTGGTTCTGGTTCTGGTCCAGGCTTCATGTCCTCAGACCTTCAGCTGCAGTCAGATGTTGAAGATCTTCTATCATCAGTGAAGGAAAGTTCAGTTTCTCTGCAGCAGCTGATGAAGAGGCTGACTGAGCTGAATGAAGGAATGGAGATGATGGAGAGGAGGAGGAACTGCTCACAGCTCTGACTTGGACTAGACCGTTTAGATCTTCCACCAAGCAGGAAGTGAGTTATAAATGAAGTGAGCAGAACAGGAAGTCCAGCTGCTGTGGACCTCTGGCATCTCTGGGTTTTTGTTGAGCCAATATCTGCTGCATCATCATTAATAATAGTAATATATTGTATAGAAACATGTTTCCCAGCAGCAGGTTATTAAATGCTGCCACAGAGGAAACTGGGAGCAGAACAAACACATGATGCTCCAGTTCTGTCTCCGTTCATCTGCTGGATTTGATGCGTTAACAAAGTAGAAAGTGGACAGTCGTCAACCTGCTGCAGCTAAAAGCTTCACGTTGTTCTGGTCGTCCTGCAGAGCAGCAGCAGAACCGGTCCTGCTGCTCCTTCGGGTCAGAACCGTCCTCTCAGACTGTGGATCTGAGAGGAACTGGGACAAACTGGTTGGAAGACGGACACATGTCTCTGCAGTGGTATGTCCATTGTCTCAGAGGAACAAAGGTTTGGATGTCAGGAGAAATTGTTGCTAAACTCCTAAAGAGCTGAAGAGCAAAACCCCTGGAGGAGACGGAGCGTTTGGGTCCAGCAGCATTTCATGGTGAAGCAGTGAAAGTTCTCCAGTAACTAGAAGAGGCTGGATGTCTCCAGAGTTGAAGCTCATGTCTCTGCAGGTCTTCATGGAGGACAGCTGACAGCTTCAACAAAGGCTGCAGATGAAGAGTTGATGAGGAAAATGGTTCCAGCTCTGGAAGCAGATTCTCAGAGCTTTGGGAGGATCTGACAGAAACTAGAACTTTTTCTGGAACCAGACGACAAAAACCACATTTTGGTCTCATTTACAAACTCAGAGGAAACTAGAGGGAGGAGGAAGAGGAGAGGATGATGAAGATCAACACTGTTCACATAGTTTATAATTAATGCAATGATTTATTTGAATGGTCAACATTTTTATTAAACTAAACAATAATTTTCTGAAAACAGTCAAAGATCCTAAAATATGAATGATGGAGCAGCGGCTCAATGAGTGAAGAGTTTAAAGTTTAAAAGTTTCTCTGGCTGATTGGATCTTAGAGAAAATAGATTTTCTAGAGTTCAGGGTTTTCTATTCATTTCAACCTAAAATTGATAAAAATTACATATTTTTAAAAAAATCAAAATGTCTAAAAACCAAAAGCTGCATCTGTCCTGGATGAGCTGAATGTTTAGATGTTTGATTGGCTGAAATAATCCAGAGGATGAAGGAAGTAGATAAAGAGCAAAAACATCCAGAATCAACTTGAAGATAGAAGAAGAAACAGGAGGACAATAGAGCTGAATCAACATCACACAATGAAAACATCTGGACTCACCGAGCCTTTCTGCAGTTCCTCACAGCTGGAACCAGTCTCAGTCGTCCTTTATCTGAGGTTTTGTACTTCTCCAGGTCCAACTCATCCAGAACCTCTGACATCTGCAGCATGAAGGCCAGAGCTGAACATTTAGTCTCTGAGAGCTCCTTCCCTGAATCCAGCAGCCGTTGGATCTCCTGATAAAATGAGACGTCGTTCATCTCCACCAGACAGTGGAAGATGTTGATGCTTCTGGCAGCAGAGATTCTATCAGTGTTCTTCTTCTTCAGGTTGGTGATGTTCATCTTCTTCAGGTTGGTGATGATTCTCTGGATGGTTTCTGGACTGGTCTTAGTCTGACCCAGCAGATCTTCTAAGAGTCTCTGGTTGGACTCCACAGTGAGACCATGAAGGAAGCGGACAAACAGGTCCAGGTGGCCATTTTCACTGCTGAGGGATTTCTCCATGACTTTCTTCATGAACTCATCTAGAGATGTTTCTCTGTATTCGTCTCCCAGGAACGTCTTGATCTCCTCTGACTTCCTGCTGGTGAAGCAGTGGAGCATGTAGACTGCAGCCAGAAACTCCTGGATGCTCAGATGAACAAAGCAGTAGACTGATTTCTGGAAGATCACACTCTCTCTCTTGAAGATCTCTGTACAAACTCCTGAGTACACTGAGGCCTCTGTGACATCCAGACCACACTGCTCCAGGTCTTCTTGGTAGAACATGATGTTTCCTTTCTCCAGATGTTCAAACGCCAGCCTCCCCAGCTTCAGAAGAACTTCCCTGTCAGCCTCCATCAGCTCCTGTGGACTTGTCTCATGTCCTCCATGGTACTTGTTCTTCTTCCTCTTTGTCTGGACCAGCAGGACGTGAGAGTACATGTCAGTCATGGTCTTGGGCAGCTCTCCTCTCTGCTCTGAGGTCACCATGTTCTCCAGAACTGTAGCAGTGATCCAGCAGAAGACTGGGATTCCACACATGATGTGGAGGCTCCTGCAGGTCTTGATGTGGGAGATGATTCTGCTGGACAGCTCTTCATCACTGAACCTCCTCCTGAAGTACTCCTCCTTCTGGGCATCGGTGAAGCCTCGTACTTCTGTTGTCCTGGTAACACATGAAGGAGGGATCTGATTGGCCGCTGCAGGTCTGGAAGTTATCCAGATGAGAGCCGAGGGAAGCAGGTTCCCCTTGATGAGGTTTGTCAGCAGAACATTAACCGATGATTTCTGTGTGACGTCAGAAACCAGATGACTGTTGTTGAAGTCCAGTGAAAGTCTGTTTTCATCCAGACCATCAAGGATGAAGAGGAGTTTGCATTTAGCCAGTTGCTCTGCTGGGAGCTTCTGGAGTGTTGGATGGAAAACATGGAGCAGTGAGAGAAGACTGTGCCGCTGATCTCTGATCAAGTTCAGCTCCCTGAACGAAAGCAGAACCACCACACTGACATCTTGGTTCTCCAAGCCCTCAGCCCAGTCCAGAGTGAACTTCTGCACTGAGAAGGTTTTTCCAACACCAGCAACGCCGTTGGTCAGAACCACTCTGATGGGTCCATGTTGATCAGGGAAGGCTTTAAAAAGGTCGTGGATCCTGATTGCAGAAACATGGAGGTTCTGGAACTTGGAAGCTCTCTCCAGCTGCTTCACCTCATGCTGGGTGTTAACCTCGTCACTCTGTCCCTCTGTGATGAAGAGATCAGTGTAGATCCTATTGAGGAGGGTTCTACTTCCTGTTTCATCACTTCCTTCAGTCACACATTCACATCTTCTCCTCAGACTGATCTTATGTTCCTCTAGAACCTCCTGCAGACCAACATCTGCTGAAACACAGAAGACAACTGTAGTAAAAAACATGATTCAGTGATAAAGTTGGAACCAAACCATCAGAGTCATTGAATGCAGGAGTTTTCAGTAACATCAACTCTTCTGCATCATGTCATCATTGTCCTTATTGAGACAGAAAAATGTTTCCTTGCTTTATTTTCAGCCTTTATGAAAGAAATCTGGAGAAAAAACTTTAATCTGCCAAAGAAATGAGTCATTACATCATTAATGTTCACATTTAAAATGACTTTCCTCAGTCAGAGTCTGAATTGGATTTTTTAAAGAATAATTACAGACTGGAAATTGTTGAGCCAATCTGATTTGACCCAACAGATTGTTAGTGTCATTACATTTTGCATTTATACTGTAAATATATATAATGCAGTCTGTGTTATATGTCAGAGTTAAAGGTTTCTGTCTCTCCGACATCACTTCCCTCTTTCTGTTAAAACAGTTTTAAAGCAGGTTGTTTTTCACCTTTTGTCTTCATGCATCAAAATCATGACTAGCTTTAAGAAAATGTTGAGTTTTATTGTATTTATCACAAAAGGATGAAAACAGAGCCACTTCCAAGCAAACCCACAGGTTGTTGGGGTCAACATGTAACATTTACTAGAATATATTGGAGAACACAGTGGGACCAGCACTAGATTCAGGTAATGACAGCAGTGATAGGCTGGGTGTGTTAATAACTGCAGACCAGAGAATATATTTAGACTGCTGGTTTATCATTTGGTAAAGAACAAAGCAAAATAATCACTTAACAAAGTCACATTGTCTGTATATTTTCATTTAATTCAAATTTACTGAGATATTTACAGTCAAAACTACACAAAATACTTGGAATGAGAGTAACAAAAAATAGACATTAATTTAACAATCAACCACATAGACCCATGTATCAAATTATACTCTTGGATGGCGTCTGAGGCTGCTGCTATTTTAGCACCAAATTATGGCCAAAACATATTAATTCTGATGTAAACAACATCCAGCAGGGGGCCCAGCTCCTGTTAGTTCAGGGTTTAGGGTGATCTGAGTTGTGGTTCATCATCTTACTTCTCATTCATGGAATCAAACTCAGGAAACAGTTTGGATTTTACAGAGCTGAAGTTGGCTTCAGATTGAGCTTCCAATTCAGGATAAAAGGCCGCCTTTACCTTTGAGCGTTTTCAATCTGCTTGAGTTTAAAAGCTGAAATACTTGCACTCTTAAAATATGGGCTACATTATTCTACAATTATAGCAGAATACTTTAAACTATAGATTGTGATTAGGGAAAATATTTCCATAAATCCAGGTAAAAGCCTGGATCTGGCAGACAGGGGACAAGTCACTAGTTGTCTCTCTGAGTTTTTAACTCTTCACTATAGCATGTAGTTATTGTTTCTAGTAATCTTTCTCTAGTTCACCTCTTGTGATTTCTGTGCTCCGTGGTTTAAGGAGCCTTGTTGGTCCCCAGATTGTCCTCCACTCCTCTGTTGCTGCTGCAGCTCTGCTGTCCTCACATTCATCTGCCTGATTCTTCTCCAACAACGTTTGGATCACAAACTATTCACTTCCTGAAGAAGCTTTTCTGTAACATAACTCCTTATTATATTCTACATTTACCATCATCTGCCAGACTGAACCTCAACCACACCTTGAACCAGGAGCTTTTCAGAGACTTCAGAGACCTCTGAAGTTGCTCAAAATCACTTTTTAATGATTTTGACAGAGTTTAAATAATTTTCTCCCAAGTGTCCTTTAATCACTTCCCAAATTGAAAGCTATAATTGTAAGCTCCAATTTTCCAGCAGAACCTTAAAGATCTGGTGAAATAACCAATAAAAGTAGAATAAAAATCCTTTTCAGCAAAATTAGATTCACCATTTTGGCAGCTGGACAATTTGGTGAGCTAGAACTTTTGCCACCTCTTTTTAAGTTGTTTTGTTTTCACTTTATTTCTGTTATTCTAAACATAACATTAATATCAATCAATACCTGATTGCTGCTCTCTTTTGCCATCCTTTCTGCTATTTAATTCTCCTAAACCTCATCATAAAATTATCTGTAAGAATCATCAAAGTGATGGTTGTTTTATTTTGTTTTATTTAGAGCTAATGACATGTTATGCTGCAACATGACCCTTCAGAGTAAGAGTCTTCACTTATAATTTTAAAAACAAACAAAATAAAAAGTCAAATTTGTACATTTATCTTGTGGCCATTTTTTGAACTGTCTAAAATTAAATGAGGACTTTATTAAGCCGAGTTACCGAGACTTAAGTTCCAGTTACACCAGCTGAAAAAAGTCAGATTCAGTTGAAACAACTGATCACAAAAAAGACTTTTAATCATTAAATGTCCAAATCTCAACTAAAGACGTGGATCTGGAAGGAAGAAGCTCTGATTGGACATGTTCAGTCTCACCTGGAGCACGGCTGCTCTGATTGGCTGTCGGTCTAGATCCTGTTTTGGGTTGTTTCCCACACTGGGGGCAGCTGGTCCAGCCCGGATCCATCAGAACATTCTGACCCAAAGCACAGCACAACTCCTCATCACTAAAGCTGCTCCTGTGAAGACATTTCTTCATCACTGAAATATTCACTAGCAACAGTCTGGAGCTGAACATGTTCATGAAGGTCCACAAAGAACCAGGGACCAGAAACTGGGTCAGAACAGAACCTCAGAACATTGATGATTTCTGGTTTTAAGTACTTCATTGAATTATATTTGGTATGATGACTGATGCCAGTGTTCCCAGTCTGGAAGATGCTGGTTTCACTGCTTCAGTGGGTTTACAGACAATCTGAATTGTTGCTCCTCACATGTTTTTGTTTTCATGCAACATTTTAATCCATATTAATTCATTCAAACTGATTTACTGACCAACATCCTTCAGGTCTAACTTTAAATTAATAAGTGAGAAAATTAAGTTACTGTTTATTAAGACACTGAGATCAACCAGTTAATTTATATTTTATCTCTATAGATTCACATGAATCAGTTAGAAACTGGTTTCTTACTTTCTGTCTGAGGGTCCAGGTTCATTACTGAAGTCTGGAGGATCATGTTTGGACCGGTCACTCCTCATAGATGGACTGATGGATCCTGGAGGTTCTGCTCTGTCCTTCTTTAGATCCAGATCTTCCATCTTTTTGACTTTTTGAGAGAGAAACCAGAACCAGTCAGTCCCAGTGATCCAGTTCCAGTAACTGTCCTTTAAAGCAGAATTTCCTTTCTAGATCAGGCATTTATTAAAGTAAACAGGAGAGCAGAGCAACCCAAGCCATGGTGGCAGAGGCCCCCAGGAAGCTGCGGTGCTTCCCGAGGCCCACAGAGGTTCATCGTTAGAAATGGTTCCAAAGAGCCGAGAGAGACATGGAGGGACCCGGAGCGGCAGCACTTACTTCTACTAACAAGACAACAAGTTATTTCAATCCTGCGTCTCAAAATGGACGATGTTCTGAAGAAAACCAAGGTTGGTTTCAATTCCGAGAAGAACCTCGCTGCAGCAAACAGGAAGTGGCGGGGACAGATCACTGTCAATCTCAGACCTTATATGGAAATGGGACTATTGCGTTCCGGAAATGAAGGGGGCGCTAGTGACACCATTTCCTGTACCAGCCATGTTTTAATAATTATAATAATAATAATAACGCATTTTATTTCACAACGCCTTTAAAAACTCCCAATAACACTTTTAAAATTTAAAATTAATTACAAATTAACTACAAATTAAACATTAAGGAAATGACATACCACGTGTTACGTCACGTGGTATGTCTGTCACGTGGTATGTCCCTTTTTATTCACATTGTGAATATAATTTACAAACAAATTAAATTACTTTTGAACTTCTAACAAGCTCAGCTGTTATCATCGTTTACCATAATGTCTTAATCAGTAAACTGATCCGTGTCCCACTATTCCGTTTAGAAATTCAATATCAATTCTACCAATTGCAATTGATTCATAAACTGTGCCCCAAAGACCTTAAAATGCAAAAAAAAAAAATTTAAAAAAATTTAAATGTAGCTTCGACCTGGAAAGACTCACACAGAAAGCAGGTTTTAGAAACTTTACTTGATAAGAAATAATCTTCGGACCCCGGCAGTAGACACTGCGCTGGTAACTGCCAGAGAGAATGATTCGCTGTTGTTTTTTTTTTCTCTATGAAAACTTTTTTGAATAAATTCACTGGATACATAAATTAAATCTATGTGTAAATTGTAACCGTCTTCATCTCCTCTGATCACGGCGCCGGTCTCATCTCCTCCACCCTTCAGAAACTCCGGCTTGATGTGCAACTGCTCCTCACCTGAGCTTCCATCACCTCCACCTGGTCTCCACCTTCACTCAGCTCACCTTTAATCTCATGTTTGTATTATGACTCTGTAACTAAACAATGTTTCTGTATGTTCTTGCTTTATTATAAAACAACAGTTGATTCTGACTATTAAAACAAATAACTTAGCCGTATGTCAGGTGATCCAATTGCTAAACAACACTGTTACAATATATTTACAACTACTTTATTGGTTCTACTCTCTCCAACAAAATGCAGCCACAATGTAACACCATTTCTGTACAAACTAAATAATGTAAATCAACTGAGCTACAACAAAAGGAACATTTAAAAATGTACATAATATTGAAATAACACATTATGAAAACAAATGACTGAACAAGTCAAAGGCAAATGTGCTTCAGCATAAATGATTTAAAATGACATTTCACAAAAACACAATGTGTGACAACTGAAATGTGTGAAAGACTACAGAAAACAACTAATATTGTCCTAGCATTCAGTACTGGCATTCAGGGCAGTGTCCAGATGTGCCATCAGAGTAGTAACGAGGGAACTCTCCTCATCTTCCATGTCCAGTGAAGCCCACACAGTCTTTATGTTGCCGGTTGCAGGAAGAACATCTTACAACCGCAAAAGGAATCCTGTTTTCTGCCTCGAATGATTCTGAAAATGTCGCCCAGCTGATCTCACCTGTTAATGAAAAACTGATTTTATGTAGTTGAAATCTAATTTCACATGTTTTAGGTGAAAAAAGTCAAAGGTCTTTACCATAGCCAAGCAAAGCGAGTCTTCTTCCTGAAAACTGGGTCAGACACAATGGCTTCCAAGCACTTGCAGGTCAATGCCAAGGTGAGGGAAGATGTGCCTCCCTGTGCCAGAATCACCTCCTGCTTCCAGTGCAATCAAAGGCATCTGAAAATAATAATAATAAAAAAAACATGTGCAATGCAAGACTCATACTGGAAGAATGGCTATGACATGATTATAAATGAATCTTAATAAAAGAAATAAATAAAATAAAATAAAAATCTATATACATTGCAGATATGTTTAAACAAGATGTGATTCATTCTCCCTCAGAACAGAGCGAGGGCTCAGCCTAATAGCTACTAAGATAAAAGAAAAAGGTTATTACACACCAGGAAATATACAAATGATTGGTAGAACAAAAGGCATGTTTGAATTAATCACTGTACATTCTTTAACATTGTTGTAACTGTTTTGTAGGATTTAACAATTAATGGCTTCCAGATAACAAATATATGTTCTGCACAAAATGAACAGCCAATGGCAGAGATTAATTAATCAGATTTACTCAATTACTCTGTAACTATGATAAAAAAAATAATAATAATTAGGACCATTTTTCCAAATGTTATACTCTTGAGTTAATTTTGTTGATATGCAACATAATGCGAGTAACTTAACTGAATGAAGATCACATTTTAATCCATAAAAGAATAAAAACACGATACACAGATAAATGTTGCTTATGTCAGGTTTCCTCTAACCTTAATTTGTTGTCTTGTATTAAAATACCTAACAGTGCACATAACTTCATTTTTATTAATGTCTGTTGAAATAAATGGGTAATATTACATTGCACATTATAATCAGTAAAACAGTACTTAAAAATAGCCATTTCACAAAATACTTTGTTACTTTTAAATGTGTAGTTTGCTGCACAGTTACTACAAATACATTGTAGTGCTGCTCATCATTACAGTATCATCTCTGGGTTCCACTTATGATGGCAGCTCGAAAATAAAAAGGCAGCCAAGACCCTCTTGAAGGAGGTGCGCCTCTCAATGAAGTGTTTACTCAGTCAGTGTTTGATTGAAGTGTGAAAAAATTGTGGTAGGTGCCCTGTGAGGTCCCTTCCACATCCAAAAAAATAAACTACAAATAATTAATAGAACCAAATAACTTTCTATTCCACAGCAGATTTGACATTAATTTCATAATTATCTATTAAGTTTTCTCTGTAATGAGTTTCTGTAAAAGAAAATCTAAAATAAATATCAATTCCTATTTTGTGTTTTTGAGACAAAATTTACAATTGCAACTTCATGAATGTTTTTAGAAATATTTTCAAAACTGAATTTTGTACAATAAATCTTTTCCACAAGTTTTAATCTTATAAAATTTGATAAAAAGTTAAATTATGATATTAACAATTTCATCCTCTGTCAAAGTTTTATTTATTCTGAAAATCACTTCCATTTTTAAAGTGAAATGATTTTATTTAATAAAGTGCTTAAACATTGCAACATCACAAAATCCTAATATTTATACCAATATATTAACTTAATTTAAGATTTAAATTCATCTCTCATTTGTTACATTTTCTGTTTTTCTTTTTTTCATCACAGTTAGTTTGTGACGATTGTATTTTATTTCTTTTTTCTGCTCATTTTATGAGAACTATGTAGTAAGAAAAGAACTTTGAACATGAACAGTTCTGAACTGAACTGGTTCTGTTTCAGATGAATTAATTAGTGTTTTCTCCTCAGTTCAGAATATCAGGATGAGAACTGAAGACGATCTGCCACCGTTTCCCGGTCCCTCCTGGTCTTGATCCTGATTCTGGTTCTGGTCCTGGTTCTGATCCTGGTTCTAATCCTGATCTTGGTTCTGATCCTGGTTCTGGTCGTTCGTCGCTCCTGGTGGTTCTGTTCGGCCCGTTTGCGCTCCGCGTCCTCGTCATGGTGGGCTTTGTTTAGTCCAGCCGTCTGCAGCCTTTCCAATCCAGAGACATTTTTTTGCTTTTCCAGGTAAATAAAACGGGTCCAGAGCCACAAAATGACATTTTAAAATATTTACTTCATTTATTTAGCTGTTAGAGGAAATATTTTAAAAAGAAAAACAAACTTCCTGAAAAAAATGTTTTTATATAGGATGTTTATATTTACACATGGCTTTTATTTTAATATCAAGAAAAATACATCTAAATAAAATAATGATGAATCAATTATTAAAATAAGAGTCAGCTAATTTGGTAATTGATAAATCAGTAACTTAAGTATTGACTCTTAAATGTTAATTTGCTGGAAAAATAAAACATTCAGATGTAATTAAACCAAAACTGAACAAAAAATCTATAATTTTACATTTAAAATAGAATAAAATCTTGTTTGTAAATTTTTTACTCAGAAGTCATTAAACTGCAGTTTTAGCTTCACCAGGTTCAAATTCTGCAAAAAATAAAAACATCTTATTCACTATTAATTAATTTTTCATCAAATTAAAAAATTGAATAAAATTATTATCTCAGTCCTGCACTCTGTGAAGTTTAACGAGTTTTTAGAAATACAAATTCTTTGCTACAATTTATCAAGCGTTTATTAAAGAAATGCTATTGCATTTTAGGCAACAAATTGTTTATTGTTTAAAAATAAATTAATTAGTTTGTAATTTACTCCTAATATTACAGAAAAAAGGCTCAAATAGTTTGGTGATTGATAACTAAAAATATAAGTTCAATAAATACCATTTGCCTAATATTTACATTTTAAATTTAATACTTAAAAAATCCTGTGTGTAAATATTTTCTATCCAAAACTCCTGAAGTGTCACTTTAGCTTCACCAGGTAAAAAGAAAATATCTTAACCAATTATTAATTGATTATTAATAAAATAATCAACAGATCAGTTCTCCTCTCTATTGACAAGCAGCTTGAAATGATCAAGTGTTCAAGAAAGAAATTCTGTTATTAAATTTTAGGCAATAAAATGTTTATTTCCTTATTTAAAATAGTAACTGAATTATTTGATTATTTGCATCTTTTATTTCTAATATTGTAGAAAAAGTTTAAAGTAAAAAATACTCAAAATGTGATTTTGATTTTTATCACATTTTGT